AAGGAAATAACAGTGACTATGTTGTCATAGAACAACTTTCCTCTAGATATTCTCATATTGAGAAATATTTCTGTAGTTTTTCACTGATTTAAATCTTTTGTAAATCTGAATTTGTCTCTTTTAAAGATGACCATGTTAAACTATGTTCTGTATCTCACAGAATTCAAACGTTGTGATATATTATCATTAATCGAAGTGAAATACTGTCTTCATTCTTTTGAATATCTAAAATGTGTCTTTTGTAAAGACAACTTACAGTTGTTAAACTATGTTCTCTGTCTTGCATAATTCAGGCAAGTGTTGTGATATATTACCACAAATTATATTAAAATTACGAAAATAAAAATCCAGTTTTCTTAATTTTTTTTCATGCAGTGACCTTTTCTTCACTCCTCACTTTCTGGCCAGGGATGCACGACAAGTACATTCAGTTAAATATATTTTCGTCATAGATGTGGGGCTTTGACCAGAGCTGTAGCCAAAGGGTGGCCAACCCGCTCACTGAAACAGAGTCAGCCATCACCAGCTATACTAGCTACATTATGAAATAGGCTTTGCAGTGATAAGATTAATTAACTATGGAAAATTAGTCAGCCATACTCATTTATAATGCTAATTACTTTTTACAGTTAAATACATGCATGTGTTTTAGTTTACCTTACACAGTGCTGTCTGTCTAGCTTTCTAATCATTAGACTCATGAATAACGCAGGTTAATTACTGGGTATGTCCATCATTTTAGAACTGGGTGAGAGGTGACCATTCAGGAACCTTCAAGGCCTTTGGCCTGACAGAGAGTGATAATGATGTCAGCAAGACACTCAAGATGCAGGGAACAGAATTTGAGATGGTAGTAAATGAATTTGAACATTACGTCATACAGGTTTGCTCATTACTCTGCAACAGCAGATTCCATTGCATTAACACTATAAATGTGATTCCACCAGTCAGCTATAACCACTGAGTCTGACTGAACACATCAGAAGAGCTTCCTTACATCTGTAACAGGTCTGAAGAGACGACTGTGGAGACACCACCATTGTAGCTGCAATCCTCTTCAGAGAAGCTGCTCATGAATCTCCAAACCAACCAACACAGTGCATTATGGGTATCCTATATCCGCTATGGTAAATCGGTTGTACACTACTTATTGTGATGCATGGTGGGATTGTTTGAGTGCATTAAATCTTCTTCACTGTGTTTTTAGACACCACTACAGAAGGGTGGAACCCTAAAATAGTGCACTACATAGTGAATAGGGCACAGTTTCGGACACAGCTGGAATCTCACCAATGACACAGTGATCAGTCTGCATCATAGTAACTTTGACTTGATAATTTTTACCCAACACTTCATAGATTATTTCAAAATACTAGAAATATGAAAACAAAAATCAATAGTCACATTAGTATTAGATATAAGTGTTGTGTTGATCGTAACACAGTTTTATATCACTGTAGATGGTAGTTAAGAGATGGCAGCTCTGTAGAAGCCAGTGAGGTGAGAAGATTTTTGCCAGTTTAGACAAAAAAATGAGCTCATTGATCACAGAGTTCTCAAATTTTTATAAAATGTTTAATAAAAAATAATGTTACTGTTACGGGCAGGGAGACGGACCCAGGTGCAAAGAGGAAAACCCATGAGAAACGGTGTTATACAATTATTGAGGCAATGGAATGTGAAGTTGGCACGTTGGGGTTGAGGTGACCCAGAGCCAGGTTCGAACCGCCGATATACTGATCGGCAGTCCGTGGACTGCTGTGCCACGGGAAGCACAGGTCACAATCGGGTAAAACACCTCAAGGAGCGGGAAATAAAAGGCGGGAAAAAGGGAAAACAAAGCAGACACTGAAAGCAGCTCAAACAAAGGCTGAACTAGAAATGTGAAATAAGAGATAATCAGAAAACAAAAGTCACTTCCTCTGTAATTATGAGGGGGAGGCAGACTTTGTTTCACTAGTTGCTCTTAGTGGAGCACCTTTTGTATGGTTGGAGCCGTTGGAGCTCAGGCCTTCTTGTGGTTTTTAAGTAATTTTGAGGAAATTATGCTTTTGTGTTTCCAGCCCTCTTTCCTTTTCTTCTCTTTCCTTTAAATACCCACCTGGGCTGCGTACCATACCGGTCACCCCTCTACAAAGGTGTGACAAAGGTCTGCTGTTTGCCACAGCCTTAAGTAGAGGAGTCCACAGGTGTGTAAAGTTCAGCCTAATCAGCCCAAGGGCTTCTGGGAATTGGAGTTCCCTGAAGTTATGGCACCTTGCTGCCGTTGCAGCCTGCAGCGCAGGCTGGGCCATTACAGCTACTAAACACAGACAAGGAAAGAGAGAGAAAGAGGCTGAAGGAGACTGACAGAGCTTAAGAAATTGAGTGTTTAAGCTGTCAGTAAAAATTAATTCTGAATTTGTAGATGTTATTCCCTTAATATATCCTCATTGTGAGACAAAAAAAAATTGAGAAAATATCATTTTTGTGCTGTCAAATGGTCACTATGACCATTATCTAGACTAGGTGTGTCAAACTCAACCACTAAAAGGGCCAAATAAAAAAATCTCAACAAATCAGTGGGCCAGCTGTGTTTTTATTTCATTTTTACTTAACACTTTGCCACGACCCCAACGGACCACTGTTTATTCAAAATATGCCAAACCTGCAACAGAAAAATAGGCACTGAATACTTATTCAAAAATACTTCTAAATAGAAACTGTTTTATGTTGTTTTTTTAACTGCCTGTTTGCTTGATCTAGACACCAGGCATCTTTTCCACTGGCCCAGAGATTGTTGTTGGGGGTCAGAACTCATACTATGTTGCAGTGCATTGCTGGGGACTGTAGTGCATCTCAGGGTAAAACGAGCTAATATTCATAATAATAATAATAATAATAATAATAATAAATAGAAAACTAAAATAATTTTGCAGGCCGAAGAGGACTGTGTTATGGGCTTTGTGTTTGACACATAGGATCTAGACTATTAACCATGTAAACACAACTACAGAACAAAATCACACTGACTGCGCAAACTTAAAGATGTAGCTTTTAAGTCATCAAAGGTCTCTGCTTAATACGCTATGAAGAGACAGATCCTCTGTGTGCCAACATGATCAAACAGGCATTTTTTGATACATTTTCCTCCTGTTGCTGCTCTAAAAGTTGATGCTGAACAGACATTTCGAGGCCATTAGGAAACATCTTCCTGGGGGAGCATGCCCCCAGACCCCCTAAGTGAAGGCTTAGATGTCCATAAATCTCTAGTGACATTCTCACTACAACACCCAGCTATTAGGAAAGCCTGTAAGACCAACCAGTCCAGACTGTCTAAAGCTTTAGCACAGTATTATATATAAATTATATGAACTTGAAATGCATTTTTTAAAGTTTTTATAAGAAATTCTGAAGCAGATATTTTAAGAATTAAATGTTTATCATTTTATTACTTATTATTTTGTTTCTGTCAGCTAAGCTTAAAATATATACTTTTTTTTTGTAAAATATTTTTATAATTAAAAATCTACCCAAGCATTGGTGCAAACACAAAGTGGCTGGGATTGGGGTTAAGGGGGTAATATTTAAGAAATGATGAGACAAAATGTTGGGGGTCTTGCAACAGTTGTCAAAAAAAGTACATAGCTGGGTTGCAAAAGAGCCGTTACATGTAAATCATTATCAGGCCGTCAATTAAACTTTAAAACTCTAATTTAAAAAAACTAATGACAAAAATAAAGAAGCGCTAAGCTATGATTGCTCTCACTTTTTCAAAGAAATCTGAGTTGAGCTGGTCACGTCCATTACGTCACTTTATTCTGATGAGAATATGGGCTGCAAAGACTGGACCAACTTAATATTGATAGACTGGATATTTTACTTTGGATAATTGATGCCCTACTTTACTGTTTTCTTGTACTTCGTTGTTTTGGCAGAAAATTGAATAAACAAAAAACTGTTCTTTGACATTCACTGTGTGTTTAAGAGTGAAGATACTGTGAGCAGTGATGTCACATCTCAGCCAGTGAGGATCTTTCACTCCAGATGGTGAGTGACGTCAGACTCCGTCTACAATACAGCTCACAGTCTTTAACCAGCACTAATGATCCATTCAGCTCTCTGCAGCTTTTGTACTCCACTGATCTCAGCACAGACGACTCAGTGTGGGAAACTCAGACACGCTCTCTACTCACACTGACCCACAGCTACAAAACATCTGCCCACTCTGGAGCTCCAGCACTCACACAACACCGACACACAGTTTCACCAAGTTAGTAAACAAACTACTCATTACAAACAAATTATCTGTAATAAACACACAAAACAAAATGAGAAAAATGTGACAGTGAAGGAACTGAAACACATGAATGATGAACATCATTTTATTATTAATAGTAATAAGTAAAAAGGTGTTTGCAGTTGTTCAATTTATAAATAGTATTGTTATTATTATTATTATTATTATTATTATTTGTAGTAGTACATTTCTTTGACTGACTGATCGATTGACTGAAAAAATAGCAAGAACCAGACTCAATAAACTTTTATTCTGCACTCTTATCAAAAAGGGTTCTAATCTGTACCTGAAAATGGTCTTAGACAGGAGTAGAACCCTTTCTAGTGTTATACAAAACCAATTTTATACAGAGCAAAAAAAATGTACAATCAGTTAGTCATTTTAGAAAAGCTGTGAATGTTTATTGACTCAGTAAATTCCATTAAAGGTCAGTGTTTCCTCAACCCTGACCGTAATTCTCAGTGGCTGAATCTGATCTTCTAAAGGTGAATTAGCATGTGAAGAGACACACTTCTATTGTTCACTATCCTCTCTTTCAGTGGTCAGAGTGTGGGAAAGCTCTGGAGGGAAGATTTATGGTCTATGGTCATTAATATCCTGAACCCTCAATATTTAGACAATACACAAGAGAATAGACACACTTACGATGTGGAGAAATTCACTAAGCAGATCTGATGGAGTGACCTGATACATTTGGACCAAAACTATATACAGTGATATGCCAAGGTTTGAGCACCCTCAGTTAAATTAGTTGTGATGTGATGAGAGGTTGATTTTGTAAGTGAAAATAAGTCAAACACATCCTCCTTAGAGAACAAACTAAATCTGGAGTTTTTCTGCTAATTCAGGTACAAAATTGTACACTAAATCGTTCTCTGTAAAGTATGTGCTCACTAATTTTCACTGAGAAATCAATGAAACATGGAATTTGACCAGGGTGCCCAAACTTTTGGCACAATTTATCAAAGGTCTCGATGATGCATGAGAATAAAGTGATATAGGGGAATGTAAGTGAGCAGTATCAGCTCCACACGTGTGCTGTGATGGCCGTGTGCTCTGTCAGTGACATTGATCTCAGCATCAGGCAGCAGATCTGCTCTCTTTAAAGGGTCACCACTTTCCCAGATTCACACAGTCCCTCTCCATCACTCCCACTCCTCCACCTGCTCTCCTGAAACACAAACATTGTCCCTAGCTAGAAAATGACCCAACATATGGCAGCTGGACGTTCCTCATTGTCTGTCCAAGCTCTACCATTGGCTACAAACTGTGAGAACTTCCAACAAGCCCAAGACCCACACATTCATATGGAGATGTGGGAGTATAAATAGAGGAGACTCAGCCAGTGTAGATCAGACTCACTCTACACAGAGAGATCTACAGCACTGAGATACAGCCATGACTCCTGCAGTCACTTCAGCAATGACCATCTCAAAGGAGCACCTACCTCTCAACAACAAGGTAAATTGGGAGCCAATTAAAATGAAAACAAATGACAATTTTTACCCACTTTATAAATGGTCAGCAATGTTCTGGGTCCAGTTCACTAACCATGTTCTCCTTTTGTATCTGCAGTTGAGAAAGCCAGTGGTGGAGAAGATGCGCAGAGATCGTATCAACAGCAGCATTGAGCAGCTCAAGACTCTCGTGGCTCCAGAGTTCCTCAACCAGCAGCCCGACTCCAAGCTGGAGAAAGCAGACATCCTGGAGATGACGCTCAGCTTCCTGAGACGACAGCAGCAGCAGCAACAGCCTGAATTCTCCACCAGTTCAACAGCTGTCAGTCAAGGCTTCTCCAGATGTGTTCATGAAGTTCTACACTTCCTATCCAAGGATGATGTGAAGACACAGTCTCAGAGAAAACTGCTGAACCACTTCCAGAACCTGCAGCCATCAACAGAAGAGAAATGGAGGGAAAGTGATCTCCCTCTGCTGAGCTCCACAGACCAACTGACCATCAGCAAGGAGAAGAGTTCAGCTCAGAGCGCCCTCTGGAGGCCCTGGTAGATGCCTTCAGAGTGAAAATGACTGCAAAACAAAACATATGTGAGCACAGAAGTCTATATTAGGCTACTGAAGCACAGTTTTGTATTTTTTCTTTTTCCCAAAAGACTGTTTAAATCCTTATTTCCCTTGTGGGGAAATTTTTATACTTCAAAATGCTCCAGTTTTCATCTTCTATGAGGATTTCATGTGAATCACATGACCTACTGAAAAGTGCTGACTTTATAAGTATCCGAATTGTCCTTCTAAGAAGGAGAGTGATGACATTGTCTGAGATGATATCAGATGTTCACAATGAAGCATGGATGACTGTGATTGTGTGTTTTTTTTCTTTCAGAAACGCTGAGTTTTCAGTTTAACTTGAAACGACTCAGTCTGAAAAATAATTGTCTGTATTAGATATTTTACTCATCCTCTGTGGACACATTCTTTATTGAATGGTACAAATTCAAACTGAATATCTGAACATTTCCAATGGAAATAACAGTGACTATGTTGTCACAGCACAACTTTCCTCTAGATATTCTCATATTGAGAAATATTTCTGTAGTTTTTCACTGATTTAAATCTTTTGTAAATCTGAATTTGTCTTTTTTAAAGACGACCATGTTAAACTTTGTTCTGTATCTCACAGAATTCAAACGTTGTGATATTATCATTAATCGAAGTAAAATACTGTCTTCATTCTTTTGGATATCTAAAATGTGTCTTTTGTAAAGACAACTTACAGTTGTTAAACTATGTTCTCTGTCTTGCATAATTCAGGCAAGTGTTGTGATATATTACCACAAATTATATTAAAATTACGAAAATAAAAATCCAGTTTTCTTAATTTTTTTCATGCAGTGACCTTTTCTTCACTCCTCACTTTCTGGCCAGGGATGCACGACAAGTACATTCAGTTAAATATATTTTCGTCATAGATGTGGGGCTTTGACCAGAGCTGTAGCCAAAGGGTGGCCAACCCGCTCACTGAAACAGAGTCAGCCATCACCAGCTATACTAGCTACATTATGAAATAGGCTTTGCAGTGATAAGATTAATTAACTATGGAAAAATTAGTCAGCCATACTCTTTTATAATGCTAATTACTTTTTACAGTTAAATACATGCATGTGTTTTAGTTTACCTTACACAGTGCTGTCTGTCTAGCTTTCTAATCATTAGACTCATGAATAACGCAGGTTAATTACTGGGTATGTCCATCATTGTAGAACTGGGTGAGAGGTGACCATTCAGGAACCTTTGAGGCCTTTGGCCTGACTGAGAGCGACTCTTGCTGACGTCATTAAGATGCACAAGGGACACTGTCTTTGACGACGGATGCCATGTCTGAAATGGTCCTCTGATCACTGTACCCTATGTTTGAAAATCTGGATCACTATATATAGAGCACTATTATAAGGAGCAGAATTTGTGATGGTAGTAAACAGTTTCAGACACTACGTCATACAGGTTTGCTCATTACTCTGCAACAGCAGATTCCATTGCATTAACACTATAAATGTGATTCCACCAGTCAGCTATAACCACTGAGTCTGACTGAACACATCAGAAGAGCTTCCTTACATCTGTAACAGGTCTGAAGAGACGACTGTGGAGACATCGCCATTGTAGCTGCAATCCTCTTCAGAGAAGCTGCTCATGAATCTCCAAACCAACCAACACAGTGCATTATGGGTATCCCATATCTGCTACGGTACATTGGTTGTACACTACATATTGTAATGCATTGTGGGATTGTCTGAGTGCACTGAGTCTTCTGCACTGTGTTTTTAGACACCACTACAAAATGGTGGAACCCTAAAATAGTGCACTATGTAGTTAATAGGGCACAGTTTCGGACACAGCTGTGTTCAGTCTGCATCATAGTAGCTTTGTCTTGGTAAATTTACCCAACACTTCATAGATTATTTGTTTTCATATTTCTATTAAGAATTTCAAACAATCACATTAGTATTAGATTTAAGCTGTTTTTTCTACATGCAGCTAATAGGCTTATTGTGTTGATCATGTTTAATATCCCTGTAGATGGTAGTTAAGAGATGGCAGCTGTGAAAGTCAGGTATGAAGATTTCTGCCTTCTCAGAAAAAAAAAATGAACCCACTGATCACTGAGCTCTGGTAAATCTGAGTTTAATAAAAACAGGTTACTAAACACAGACAAGGAGAAGGAGAGAAAGAAGCTGAAGGAGACTGAAAGAGCTGAAGAAAGCGAGTAAGTGTTGTTTGAGCTTTTAGTTAAAATAATGAATTTGTAGATGTTATTCCCTTAATAAATCTTCATTTGTGAGACTAAATTAAAAAAATAAATTGAGAAAATATAACTTTTAATAAACACGTAAGAACAACGTCAGAACAAAATCACACTGACTGCACAAACTGAGACTGTACCAATCTGTCATCTGTGTATTTGAATAACATAGTTAGGAGGTGCAGCTGATCTAAGAGAGAGGAGAGAGCATTGCTTGACTTTAAAGCACTTGAGTGATCGATGTGGGTGGAAAGATGTAGCTTTTAAGTCATCAAAGGTCTCTGCTTAATACACTATGAAGAGACAGATCCTCTGTGTGCCAATTTGACCAAACAGGCATTTTTTGATACATTTTCCTCCTGTTGCTGCTGAACTGACCTTGTGAGGCCATTAAAAAAACATCTTCCTGGGGGAGTATGCCCCCAGACCCCCTAAGTAAAGGCTTAGCCCCCCTGTCCATAAATCTCTAGAGACATCCCTGCTACAACACCCGGCTATTGGGATCCCTGTAGTGACAACCAGTCCAGACTGTCTAAAGCTTTGGGACAGTATTATATATAAATTATATGAACTTGAAATGCATTTTTTGGAGTTTTTATAAGAAATTATGAAGCAGATATTTTGAGAATAAAATGCTTTTTATTATTTTTTTGTAAAATATTTCTATAATTAAAACTATCCAACTCAAAGGGGCTGGGGTTGGGATTGAGAGGGTAACATTTTAGAAATAATGGGACAAAATGTTGAGGGTCTTGGAATGATCGTCAAAAAAAAGCACATAGCTTGGATGAGTTGCAAAACAGCTGTTACATGTCATTATCTGGCTATCAATTAAAGTTTAAAACTCAAATTTAAGCCAAAATACAATGTTTTGTTTAATTACAGTCAGTAATGACAAAAAGAAAAGTGAAGAAGCACTAAGCTATGATTGTTCTCACTTTTTCCAAAGAAATCTGAGTTGAGCTGGTTACGTCCATTACGTCACTTTATTCTGATGAGAATATGGGCTGCAAAGACTTAATATTGATAGACACAGAGGCATGATGTTGATGCCCTACTTTGCTGTTTTGGCAGGAAATTAAATAAACAAAAAACGTTCTTTGACTGTGTGTTTAAGAGTGAAGGTACTGTGAGCAGTGATGTCACAGCTCAGCCAGTGAGGATCTTTCCCTCCAGATGGTGAGTGACGTCAGACTCCGTCTACAATACAGCTCACAGTCTTTAACCAGCACTAATGATCCATTCAGCTCTCTGCAGCTTTTGTACTCCACTGATCTCAGCACAGACAACTCAGTGTGGGAAACTCAGACACGCTCTCTACTCACACTGACCCACAGCTACAAAACATCTGCTCACTCTGGAGCTCCAGCGCTCACACAACACCGACACACAGTTTCACCAAGTTAGTAAACAAACTACTCATTCAGCAACAAATTATCTGTAAGAAACAAGCAAAATTAGTGAAGATGAACAGATAAAGAGATGTTAGTGAAGGAAACTGGTAACACATGGACGCATCATTTTATTAGTAGTAAGTAAGTAGTAGGTAAGTAGTAGTAAGTAAGTGTTGTTGTTGTTGATAAAATGAGATTTAAGATAAGATTACATTTAGTAAGATTTTGCTACAAATTAAAACTATAAAACAAAACCCAAGCAAATAAACCAATGTGAGCATAAGCAAATCATCACTGTCCAAAGAAAAACAAATGTCTCTAAAATAGTAACTTTACAAGAGAAGAACTGTTAACTTTTAATGTGAGTTATCCCCTTAAATGGCCAGCAAAGTTTTGTTACACACTTCTATAACTTACATAGAATAGCTCAGCTGGTTTGCACTGAAGTCCCTGTAGATACTGAATAACAAGGCTTAGTATGTAATAAGCCTGGGATATTTTATTCCAAGGGATTTTGGGGCATTTCTGTTGGTTCAATCACCATTAAATTTTCACACAGTGTAAAGATCAGCTGCCGTGTTCAAATGGTTTAGAAAAATAAACATCAACAAAAATTGACATACATGTTTTTTCTGTGGACAGCGACAAAATGTGTTTAATCTATCTCTTATCAGAAAGGGTTCTGTACAGTACCAAAAGGATTTTGAGACTTCAAACAGTGGCAGAAGCCGTTTTGGTGCTACATAGAACTATTTTTAAAAGGTTCTTTAATCACTGAAAAGAACCATTTAACATAATGCAACAGGCAAAAAGGTATTCAGATCTCTATAAGCTCATCAATATGAGAAAATGTTTGTAATCTATAAAATCAGAGAAAAGCTGAGAATGTTTAGTGACTCAGTAAATTCCATTAAAGGTCAGTGTTTCCTCAACCCTGACCCTAATTCTCAGTGGCTGAATCTGATCTTCTAAAGGTGAATTAGCATGTAAAGAGACACACTTCTATTGTTCCTTACTGTGTTGATCAGTGGTCAGAGTGTGGGAAAGCTCTGGAGGGAAGATTTATGGTCTATGGTCATCAATATCCTGAACCGTTTATATTTGGGCAAGGCACAAGAGAACAGACGTACTTATGAAAGTTTTGGGAGGGCTACATTTGGACCAGAGCTGTACACAGTTTTGTGTAAAGATTTGAACGCAATCAATCAAATTACATGTGTTGTTTAACTAATTTTCACGTAGAAAATCAACAAAATATGCAATTTGCCCAGTGGGTGCCCAAACTTTTGCATACGACCGGAAGTAGAATATGTCTGGACCATGACAGAACTGTGAGAAAACAAACTTAGAAACGC